AAACAAAATTTGTAAAAATTCATCACATCATTTTCTTGGAAAAAAAAATGAAAACATTAATATGTTAATATATTAATTCTGTTGTAAAAGTTTAATTTTAATAGTTAATTTGTATTCGATTGATAAAAGTTCTAAAAGATCGTATATGCAAATCTTAATATGCTTTAAGATAAGATATTGAAGTTAGAATTATTTTCTTATTTATCATTTAAAGAATCGAAAGTAAATACAGCAGAAAAAACAGATTGTGATTTTTATATAATTGTTTCATTTTTCTAACAATAAGAGACAAATTAAACAAAACAATAAAAAATTAATTACATATAGGTTCGGATTCCACAGTTTAATTTTAAAAATAATATTCTACTATTCCATAAAATTCATATATTTAAAAAATAGATACCATAAAAAAAATCTATTAAAATAAGATAATAAATGATATTTAAAACTAAAAATTAATTTCGAATTAATAGTGATCATTTATATTTATTTCAAATATTATAAATATTAATAGTAAAATTAGAAAAAGATTCAATATAAAAAAGTAAAAATATGATTCCAAATTTTCAAAAATATATTAAACTAAAAATTAAAAATTAAAAAAATTATTACTGATATATAATAATATTATGATATAAAATATTAATTTTGAATTAATAATAAAATTTTTTAAAATTTTAATATGAAAAGAAAAAGAAAATAATTCTAAATTTTGATTGTTATGTTTGTATACAAATTTTCATTGAACAACTTCATCAATATTCAAATCTGAATAATTTTAAAACTTCAGATATATTTCAAAAATAAAAAATCTGCTTACTGCTTGCTAACTTTTTCAAATCAAAATAATATTTTTATTAAAAATTAATATTTTATAACTTTTTTCTATTTTTATTTTTTCAAGAAAATAAAAATTATTTATTTGTACAAAAATATATAGAATAAAAGTTTCTGTATTTATGTTTCATTCTCTAACTATTCCTTTGAAATAGAAAAAATAATCGAAAAATTATTATTATTATTAATTGATTAGAATACATAATATCAAATTAAACAGCATATGACTTCTAGCTTTTATTTTCGACTTGTAACAAAAATTGGATTATTTTGAATTCAAATTGCAAAAATAAAAATATTAACATTATTATGCCTTTATTAAAATTATTATTTCGTTTACTCTTTATTTATTTTGAATGTTTCAGGAACAAATTTTCAATTAAGAATAAATGCTCAAATAAATGTTCATTTTCTCAAATAATTCATTCTTAAATTTATTATTTTTCCAAATATTTTATTTTAGTAAAATAAAAACATAAATTTAATTAAAATATATTATTCATTAAATAATAGATAACGTTATTTAAAATGATTTTTAAATTATCATTTGAAATAAATTTTGTTCAAATTAAAATTCCCACTTATAGAAGTTTTTATAGCAAAGCGGAAGAGAAATAAAATTAATCTTATTATAGGTTTATATTATAGATTTTACTATAAGTAAAATATATATATATATAATATAATCAACATTTTGGGTTACATATTTGTCCATTTATCAATATAAAGTTGAATGACCTAATATCTTCTAATTTTTATATATAGCATAAAATTAAATGCAATTTAATTTAAAATTATTCAATGAAACTTCTCTATTAACTAAATGTAAATAGGTTAGATTAGGAAAAAATCAAATAATTTTTACAAAGATTTCTATAAATGGTAAAGATTTTTTTTAAGAATCTTTGTAGGACACTCGTGTCAGTACAATCGTTCGGAATTTGAGAAGACAAGATGGTCAAGTGTTATCGAGAGGTCATTCTTATCACAGGCTTTTTATCAGTCTTCTCACTTCTAGTCTACATAGCATTTTCTCTCATCCGCATAAATAGATATATACGTAACACTCGTAGACTCGAATGGCCATTGACCATTCGGAAAATTCTAAATATATGAATCGTCCAATAATATCAATTATTTTATGAATGAGAAATAATGAGAAAAACATAATATAAAAATAAATGATTACAATTAATAATTATTATTATTAACTGAAAACAAAATTATAGCTAATTGTTTTAAATGTTACGCAAGAAATAAATCGGTCATCTAATTTATTATTTCCTGTTTGATTGAGGGAACCCGGTTCTATGATATGTTGTCAAGAAATGTAAAAGGGTTGTAATGATAGATAAGATAAAATAATTTTTTTAAATGATTAGGATAAAAAATATATAATTTCTTCATATTAATTCTAAATTTACATAAATTTTTATTATTTAAAAAATAATCCAATTTTTAAATAAATAATAAATATATTATTTATGTCCTGGTATAATATTTCGTATAATGTATTTTTTTTTTTAGATATAATTTTCAAGATTATTGCAATTATTCTTTCAGATTAACAGTAGAATTTACATTAAATTAATTCCAAAAAATATCAAATAAATATAAGATTTAAAAATAACATTAATCACAAAATTCATTGAAAAAATTACTATGATACTTCGTAAAATTAAATCAAGCATTAATATTTATGAATTTTAATATTATAACAATTAATGACATAATTATACAAGAAATTCTATCAGATTCATTCAGGTAATTATACACATATTATATATTATATAATTATTTGAAGAAATTAAATCACTTGAAATGATTCTTAATATATACGTTATATTAATTATTACTAGTAAGACAAGATTTATGAAAGACGCTTTTTAGCGTATAGTTTCATTCACGCTTTATATAAAAAATGAACACGATCTTCTCTTATCGAATTTGAAGAACGATAGTACGCTTATTACTAATACCGCGTATGTGTCACAGAGGAAGAACTTTGTTGAGTGTGATATAAATTATAATATTAAAAACTATAAAATCTGTAAAAATAAATTACAAAGTTTTTTATTATTTATTATTTTTATAGTTGATTTTGCAATTTGTAATTTTTTTACAAATTTTTATATATTTAAAAAATAAATTATGTTATATTTTCATTACAAAGAAAAATACAAAATCTAACTACATATGCAAATAATAAATAGATAATTATCAATTTATTTACTCAAAAATTATCTGTTATGTATAAAATTTTAATAATTAATTTTAAATCTTGTGATTTATCACATATCAATCTATACTCATGATATGAATTTAGAATTATTTGCTATAATTTTTTCTTTTATCTATTTTTTATATATTTTTTATATATACCTCTGGCAAAGCAAAAAGAAAAAATAATTAACTAAACAGTCGGTTAAAGCTTGATAAACTTTTGGACTTTAAGGATTAAATATAGATAAAAATTGAAACCTGAACTTCATTTTGATTATATGACTAATAATAAGCGATGCACTAATAAAAGCGATGTTTTTAAATAAATATTAAATAACTGTTTCGAAAATTAAAAATAAAATTAAAAAGAAATTTATGAAATATTTAAATAACTAACTAATACATTAATCAAAATTAATATTATATATTATATATATTTATTATATATTATTATATTATATTATTACATATTATTACATTACAATAATATTATAAGGTACTTTTTCAAAATAAATAAAATCTACTCCTAATTTAATCTATCTATTTTGTTTATATTACTTTGCACTATTCTATGATGATTTTCTGTAATCACTTTGCATAATCACTCTATATAATCACTCAATAATCACTCTATATCTAATATCAAATTTATCAACCGAAAAATAAGAAAAAACAGAATTTGCTTAGATAAGCTACAGATACGGATGATAACAATAAATCATTCTTCAATTAAAAATGATAAAGCAAAGAATATAAACATGTTCTATATACCGACCTGTCCCTGTATCAGATTTATATCCTCATGTTGATCGGCATTTGCACCAACGAGTTTACAATAAAGTTCTGGTCCAGGGGTGTCGACACCACACGTGGCTGACGCGATGATCTCTTTTCCCTCAGCTAAATTAAAATACGGTGGCGTCAGGATTTCGTTTCTCGTTTGGTGGACCAGCACGCTGGCCAACGAAGCGACCAGCAACCACCTCGCCATCCTGACAGTGGACAGATCGAGCCCGCCACCGTCGGCACCACTGGTATCTCGTCCTTTAGCGCGGTGTGTTCTCTTTTGAAACTATCGTTGGACCCGTCTTTTCTCCCTATATTCTCTTTCTTTGTCTCTTTCTTACTCTCGTTCTCTTTTCGGGAGAATGCACAAGAGAGACGCGGAGAGATGCTGATGAAGCCCGAGTGGCTTCTCGGTATAGACTGAATATATACGTGAATACTGACAGGCCGGAGGTCATCGAGGACTGACGGTCTATGGTAGGGGAGAGGGGGGTGAGGGTGGCAACTCTAAGAAGGATGGTCCACACACTTCGAAACCATATGCCATTCCGTACCCTTACACACGTGCAAGCTTCTGCCCCAACAGACTAGACTATTGTCTAAGTACTTCTTTCGATGCTCGAACTAGCTTAGTTACCATACTTTTACATTTATTCGCAAATGAGATTTTACAGTAACAATAGTAATTTTCGGATAGAAACTGTTTTAAACAATTGAATTGTATAATTTAGTTTTCTTAATGTTGGATTAGATTTGGATTACTTAGATTTGCGTTTAAAGTTCTAGAAATAAGTATAAGCGATTAATAATTTTCCTTTTGAAAAATATTTGTACAATCTTTCTCAGAATATGTTGTAGCGGAAAAAAGACATATGATTAAGAGGAAAGTTGTAAATAGAATCTTAGATTGCATTTAATCTATCGATAAAATTTTTTATTCATTTTGAATATGTATTCGTTAAATATGTACAATATATCAGTATTTTGAAATAACATTTTTAAAATTTGTGTATCATTTTTATTCAATTAATGAAAAAAATTAAATAATATATTTCATTGTATTATTGCATTATATTTAAAATATTACTTTTCGTTGATAAAATATTATTTTTTTGTTGATAATTATTAAAAAAAAAGACTGAATGGAAATTATATTTGATTAGATCAATTTTTGTAATTATTAAGACAATCTTCTTAATCTTGTTTTATTCGCTTATAATAAATAGCGAAAAACATAATACTTGAACTTAAAATTACAGAAATAATAAAATTTCCCAGTAGTAAAATATCTGCTGAATCCATCCATATGGTAAACACTCTCGCTGTAAATCAAGATCAATATGTAGCATAAACTTCTATAGAGAAATCAATATTGATAACTTACTCAAATTAGTAAACGCAGAGATAAACCATGTAATTGGCGATACTGTATCTGCATTTTTCGCTCGAATAATTGCCAATAATTGAATAATCTTACTTGAGACAGAAATTGGGGTACACAGCGGCTAATAATTATAAAATAAATTAAAAAATAACTATAAAATTGTAAATTAATTTTGAATTAATTAAATTAACTAACCGCTAAAATCGTAAGTACGAATTTTGGTATGAGTTGCATTGCAAGAGAAATACTTGTAACAATATATAATATTGAGACTAGAATTGAAAATATATTTATTTTATTTAAGTATTTTAAGACTAGAAAGATTAGAATATATTCCTGCAATAGAATAATAGGATATTCCAAATAAGATAATACTGAATAACCATTTGTGAAATTATAACTAGTCATCACTGTGTAGCTGTAAGAAATATAAATTGAGCCAATGTTATAATAAATATTGAAATTTATTTAAACATTTTTTTTAACTAAATTGAAATACAAAAATTTATATACTTATAATAGATAAAACTTACCTAGTTAATTCTAATAAAAGACTTACAATTGAAATTTGATCTGCTGATTTAGCAGTCAGTAAGTTCAAAATTTGAGGAATCTTTAATATGAAACACATACCTATTGTTATAAGGCTCAAAAAATCTGCAAGTTGTTGGAGTAACATATTTCTAATTTTTTATCTAATTTTTATACCTGCAATTATTAAATTTGTTGATCGATTATGTAATAGAATTTTATATAAAATAAATGACAACTATTTTTTAGCTAATTTTTATACCTGCAATTATTAAATTTATTGATTGATTATGTAATAAAATTTTATATAAAATAAATAACTATTTTTTTTTAATTATATATTGATTATATTATGATTCTATTATGTATTAATTATGTATTTATTTACAACAAAATAAAAAAAAAAATTAAAGAAATTTTATAAAAGATAAAAAATACATTAATGCATTAATTGAAGAATTTCTAATACAATTTTTATCTATTTATAATTTTATCTAATTATATTTATCATGTAATTTTATAACTTGATTAAATATAGTTAAATAAGTTTTTTTACATATATTCTATGTACTAATTCAAAATAAATTTTGTTTAAAATTTTGTTTAAAATTCATCGAATAAAAATTAAAATTCTAAAATTTAAAATTTTGATTTTGTGAAAAAAAGACAAAAGTTGTTAGATCATTTTTGTTATGAACTTTTCGATTCTATTCAATTTATATTAAATATAAGATTACAAAGCATTAATAAAATAAATTTTAATATTCTTAAGAATGATTTTGAGTAATTTAATTATATCATAATTCTTAATTTATTAAAAAAAAATATATAATACATATAAAATATATAAAGTATCATAAAATATATAATACATAAAATATTATTATATACAATTATAATTTATTAATGTAATTTTAAAAATATTAATTTTTTAACCTGCTTTAATAAATTATCTTCATTTATACGTTGCTATATAAGAAATATTTCTTCTACTAATATTGAAGATTGTATATCTGTCAAGTATACATATACTTTGTAGCTATAATTATATTGACAATGTTTACACACATTTGTAACATTCTTAAGAACGTTTTATATTTGCATAATTATAATATTGCATAATATAGAATGTATACACTTCAATTATGAATTAAAATGCATAATTATCGGTCGAAGATATGTGCACTTATTTGACACGATAGCATTATCGATAACATGTGTATTTAGTAAATTTTCATCTAGGAACTTTTTAAAATTCATGTATAACAACTTCAAGAAAAGCTAAGTTAATAAAAAGATAGAAGCAAAGTAAAATAACTTAAAAATTAAACTGAATATTAATAATAAAAATAATTAACATATATTTAAGAAATAGAAATGTTAAATATTTGATATATTTTTATTATTTTTATATTATAACATTTTCAAAATTATTAGTTTAAAAAAACATTAATATTAAATTTTTATCAATTGTAAAAAGTTAATAATTTTTTATATTTATATTTCTTAATTTATATAAATCAATGTTAATTTACATTTAAAAAATTATAATATTTTATTTGTGAATGTTGGTCATTTGAAAATGAATAACTATGTACATAAAACTATTTTGAATTGTGCAATCACATTGGCTATAGTTCCTCCTTTTGTGAAATACATCGTCGATCCCGGAAAGTACTCGAATAGAATTCTTCCTCAGCATGACAGACGGAATGTGGGAACGGAACTGACATGGAGTAAACTAACGTGAAGGACTCGCGTTTGTCTTTTAAATATTGATTTGTCTGTAGAACGGACGTTATGTGACAACGATGAATGTTTCTCTAATACTCTATTTCATTGACAAATATTACGTGAATGTGATCGAGTTGCAAGTAACCTAACATAAGTACGTAAAATTCACTTTTAACTTTCGAAACGTCAAACGTAGTCAACTACTATCTACGACGCAAACATCAACCTTACCGGGATATTAAAGTGGTCATTGTATGGCATGTATCTTGATTGAGATATTTCGAATATTTCGCACAATAGACAATTAAAAGATGAATCATACAGAGGAATATCCTGGATTTTTGTCCATATTATATCTACATGAGTTTAAATTTCTTTATGAAGTGATATTAAGACATATCGTTTTTTTATGTCATATATCTTTTGACAGTATTAATATTTTTCATAAGAATATCTTTTTCGATTCTTTTTATTTTGTAATTTAATTTTTAAAACAAAAATTTATATAGTATATAATTGAAGGTTAAATATATTACAAACTTGTAAAATATATTTTTATCAAAAGAATATTCTTAACAAATTTTTAAAATTTTTATTTAAATAATTTAACAACATACGTGATCATATAAAATAGATATATAATAATATATAATAATAATTATATTTAAATCATAGAAAAAAGATAATGTCAGATGTTATACTGACTGTTATATACTATATAAATATAAATTTAGATTAGTTTAATATATATTTTTGTTAAATATTTTTTCAGTTTTTTATTCATAATGGACCATATGAAAAGTACAAGTACTTATGTAAACATGAAGATCATGAAACATTCGCATATTGTTTGTAATTGCTATTTTCAGGTAAGAATTCCTGAAATATAATTGAAGATCAATTTTAATTTTGTCAAAAAGATTAGTAAAATTAACTAATATTTAACAATTAAACACCATTATAATATTATAGGGGACAATGTGGAATTTCCAAAAATTTTGGCTACTATAAATCTTTTAATAAATAAATAAATATTTGAGATGGACTCTCCACCATCTTGTTCACTAAGCGCTACTGGACCTCTAAGTGATCTTGGTAGCAGTGGAATTGGAGGGTCCATTTCTAGTGATTCAGTTAGAGCTCATCTTGCAATCGAGGTATATTTTATTACTATATTATTTATATTATTTAATTTATATTATTATTATAAATATTATATATTATTATAAATATTATAATTTATAATAATAATAATATTAATATTGATATTTCTACAACTAAATATGCTTAAATATTTTAAAAAAATAAAAAATTTTTTGAATTGAGTGAATAATTAATTAATTTTTGTTTTAGATGCAAGAAAGCGATATAGAAAGTAAATCTTTATCGCAAGATTCTTTTGATTATTCAGATGGTATGTGTGGTGAAAATTTTAATACATTGAAAAAAGGACCAGGATGGACTGATGCTGATGGAAAACTGGAAGTTGAAGTGGTTGATGTAGCTATTAAACCTCCACCAGAATTTCAAGATAGTCCTTCTCCTCCTAATTCTGAATCTTCATCTGCACCGATTCTTAGCTATGCACAATTAATGAGACAAAAAGTTCCACAATTAATAGATGATTATGCTGAAAATTTAGTACAGTCAATGATTGAAGAAGCATTAATAATATCTTGTAGAATATCATGGCCAGAAGGAAGAATAGCACCTGCAACAAATCATGTACCAGTGGTAACTCGTAGCTTATACAATCCAAAACGTCTTTGGGCAACAGATTTGTTGACACCTTCATCATGCCAAGGAGCTACTACTTTAATTACTCCATATAATACTTTAAATCGTCCAAATTCACGATGTTCATTAGCTTCTTCTCGTTTATCCAGTTCTCATAATTCAATAAATACCTCAGGACTGAGTCATAAAGCGGATGACAGCAGTTTTATCACCTCTGCTATGTCACATGATGTTTTAACGACCAGTGAGATTAGTGATATGTACAATGTGCCCTTTGATTCTGACATTTATACTGTACCAATAGATGTAGTTAGACCTTTGCATGATCTTAGAACACCGCAAAGGCCTAAACGTCATAGACATCATCGTAAAAGAAGAAGAAACGTATCTGCTAGTTCACAGAGTGAATTAGAAGCCCATATTCAGCAAGCAAGGCATTATTGTGGAAAACCTCGTGCTATTACTCATGTTATTAAATCACAGAGACTTTTATCTGATGTATGCTGTAATGAAACTGGAAATGGAAAGCGTCATAGCGTTCCAGGTACATCTGGTCGACATACGTCTCGAACATCTAATGGTCACATGCATAATATTGGTGAACCAATTCATATGACTTTACATGAAGTGCGTCAATATTTGCAAACACTATATTCAAGCTCCAGTGATTCTAGTGAAAATAAAATTAAACGCGATAATAAAGCTCCAATAAGTCATACACCTGTACACCTTGCAATGCCAAAAGGTATTAGTGTAAATAATAATAATAGATATAGTAATCCACATACAGATTCAGCAATGGATACCCCTATTTCAAACAAAAATAGCAATGGACTGATTCACAATAATAATAATAATAATAACAACAATAACAATAATAATAATAGTAATGTTAAGAAGCATAAAAAAAATTCGTTTGTTAGTATTAAACACAAAAAAGTAAAAGAGGAATCACATAAGGAAAAAGTTGATTCTGAAAGAGAGAAGATTAAGAAGAGTCAGCGAAACTTTTCATTAAATTTGAAACAAACACTTTGCAATATCTTTAGATTCAGGCGTTTGGGTTCTCCGGATCATTTCGTAGAAAAGAGAAATAGTATTGTACAGGGTGAAATTGTAGAAGAAGAAGAAAGCGTTGATTCTGACCAACATGCTAATAATAATAATACTACCTCAGAGGTAGATTCCTCTGTACAAAAACTACCTTTCTTTAAACGTGCATTACCACCATTGCCTAAAAGCAATGGGCATGTGGGAGGTGTGGAACAAGCAGAAGATGCACTTACAACAATGGTATCTAAATGTGAAAGTCCAACTTCTATACCACCACAAATACCTCCACCTGCATCAAAAGTTGAGGATGAACCAGCAGAAGATACCAGTATGGATTTTGCTGCTAGTATTGAGAAAGTAAAAGATGTACGTATAATTTATATTTTCTTTCTGAAAATAATAAAAATATATGTAACATTAAAAAATATCATATTTATTAAATTTTATTTAAAATAGTATGGATGGTATTGGGGCCCAATATCTGGTGAAGCTGCAGAGAAAATACTGTCTAATGAACCAGATGGGTCATTCATTGTACGAGATAGTAGTGATGATCATTATATTTTTTCCTTATCATTTAGACTTAATAGTTGTGTGCGACATGTAAGAATAGAGCACGATCAGGGTAAGTTTTATTTTTTATAAAATTCTTATTTTTTTAAACAATTTTAATATATTTATGTATATGTCATGTATATAGGTAATTTTAGCTTTGGAAGTTGCACAAAATTTAAATCTCATACAATTGTCGATTTTATTGAAAATGCGGTAGAACATTCGCGTAGTGGACGATATTTGTTTTTTCTTCATCGGCGGCCAGTGTTAGGTCCAATGCGTGTGCAACTTCTTCATCCAGTGTCAAGATTTAAGCAGGTTCAAAGCTTACAGCATACATGCAGATTTGTAATTTTGAAGATGGTACGCAGGGATCTTATTCCCACTCTACCTCTGCCTCGACGGCTCATTGATTATCTGAGCACGCCTCATTACTACAGTGAGCAATTAGCTGAACAAGATGATAGAGCTGAATCTCCTGTTAGTTCTTCAACTGGTGAATTAGAGAAGATTTGTTTCACACCACAAGGCCTATCGTGAGGTACAAATATATAATTTTTGTTCTTCATTTTTGTGAAATACTTGCCAAATATTTATAATGTATGGTTTAAAATTTAAAATTTTACACAATTTTGTTTCATATGATTCTGTTAAATAATATTATGATTAAATATGAGAATAACTGATTTTTATTATTATATAATTTAAATTTAAAATTTAAAATATTAATATCTCTTTGAAAAGAAAAATAATCCGTTCCATGCAGTTCTTATATAGAACAATATAGTTAATTGCATAAGAGTACTAAATAAATTATAAAACAAAAAATAAAATTTGTTCAAAAATAATTTTCAATCAGAATTCTCATTTATATAATTAAATAAAAATGCACAGATAAATTGATATTAGATTTTCAAATTTATAGTTTTTTGATTTTATCATGAAATGATTTCAAGAGCACTTATATGTCAAACAATTCTATGTTACTAATTATAATTTTTATTTATAAGTTCCTGTTATTAATTTTAATATACCGAATTCATATGATGCAATGAATGTATAATATTCATATATAATGATGCAAAACAGTGATTAAATAATCCTTCTTGCGTGCCATATATCTTATATTACTATTTTTATTCAGACATTGAAATCATAATTTTTTTATTGATTTTTTTATTTATTAGTTTTCATTTAATAAATCACGTTTTTGCCAGAGATTATTCAATTATTTTATTATTCTTTATAAAATTTTGTAATTTAATATAAATGGAAAAAATATAAATATAATCTACATCCTATATTTGACGTTCCACTTTATTAGATGATTAATATAGAGTCAATAAATAATTTTAATTATAAATATGATGCACGTATGCAAAAAATTATGAAAAAATGCTGTAGGAAATTATGAAAAAAATGCTAATATTATATTAAAATGTAATCTGGCATATATAAAAATCAGTTATTATGTCTGTCATTTGTAGAAAATTTCTATACTAATCAGTTTAATATTGTTATATCATGTTTTAAGTTTAGAAGTAGCTGCCACAGACTGATTAACTTAGATAAAATATTCAACGAATTAATGGAATCATAACAATGTAGTATAAATATTTTCATTCAAGCATCAATCGTATTTTTCTGCAAATTATTATAATCATTTTTAAAAATAATCTTTGGATGGAACATTGTTTCATTGTTTCAGATTGTTTTATAATGTAAATATTTTATGTATATTACTTGATTTTATAGAATAATTAAATTGCCAGGAATTTATTAATATCTGGCAAATTAGATATATATATTTTGTGATTCTTTAAGTCTATAAAGGATAATTAATATATGATGTGCAATTTTTTAAATATATTATACTTATTTTCATTCTTTATAGCCAATTTTAAACTAAGATCTAATAATATTTACTCCTTGAGAGAGTAAAAGATTCTTTGTTATAACTGATTAGCGACTGGTGCTATATAAAATTATAAATTATAGAATTCTGATTCCTTAAATTATACAGTTGAATGAAGGTAATCAAAGTCACTGTTTATTCTTGTGCTCAGATAAACTTAACAAGATTACATCGTGCAAGGCACTTAATCGAATTTATAATATGTATTTAATTTTTTGTAATTTTATCTATCTATGAGGATATATGTTTTTTTCTATTTCGGATAAAATTGCCGAAATATTATTATATTCTTGAATTATATATATATTATTTGTATCATTATATAAATTTTAGATTATAACTTAATACTAAGAATTAATATAAATCAAGTGAAAAATTTTCAATTTACAATTTCGACTAACCAAATTGAAAAGTAGAAAGGAGCTTCAGATAAGATTTAGTAAATTATAATAATATATATTTTTATTTTTGTCTCTTTCCTGAAGATGTGTAGAATCTCATCTTCAGAAACAGAGACATTACTTTGATAAATTTTGTATTCTGTAATGCTATACAGAGCTCACTATGAAGCATTGATATAAAGATAGATTTTTCAAGGATGGAGGAAGTTTTTATACAAAATGTGTACTGACTGTTACTAGACAAATTAATTAATAAATTTTTGTTTTATTTTGCGTTTAAATTGCTTTTCCTGTGCAGCTTCATAAATCATGGAATAGTAAAGGCCACATATACATTATATATTGCTCAGAAATTTTTGGTTGCACTTTCATGAACTTTGCAGTACTAAATAAACAAATTTTATACTCAATATTCACGTGGTAGATTTTGCAATACAATTACTATAAACAGATTGTCTAAGGAAAAGACTATGTCTAAGGATAAATTTAAACGTATGTGAAGCATGTGCGTATAATTAATGGTTAAAAGCACCATAATACCTCAGCCACAGAGGGAGGTATATAGAGCAGAATTAGTACCATTTTATAACAAATGTATTTTACATTAATATAAGTTGCACATATGTATTCTTGTGAAAAAATTAGCATTACTGAAAAATATCAATGCTTTATTTAATTATGTTTCATTATTATTAACATCATTATTAAGAAAAAAATACAAAAATTCTATGCCAAGTGTTATTAAATGATAAATATGTTCATGAAATCTTTTTTTTATGTGATAAATATGTGTGACATTGATTAATAGCTTTATATTTCTATAATGTGTTCTTAATAATAGCATATATAAAATATAAAATTTTAATTTTTGCTAATGAAATGTGATATTATTATTACTATTAAAATTTATAATTAACTATACATTTTCAGAACGTAATAATATTAAAATATACTTTTAAATAAAATGTTTTTAAATTTTATAAAAATGTATAATTCAATATAATATTTAATTAAAAAATTATTATAGATAGTTATATATATATAAATTATACATTTATAGAAAAACAATAAATGCACTTGGCATAGAGCAATAATTTATTTCTTAAATGCCAAAGTTTATAATTATATTCAAAGTATAACATTGATTTTTCAATTAAAGAATTCTGTCAAATTAATAATACACGAAACTTTTAAATATTTTATATATATAAAAATTCAATATTTATAAAGTTCACTTTTTATATAAATTAAATATTTTCAGTTTAAAAGAACTCTATAAAAATAAATAAAAAAATTCTATATAAATTATTTTTTAAAGATGCAATGTTGTACTTTGATTTTAATATATTAATAATTTTTTATTATTGTTTATTATAAATAACTGACAAATGCTAGTCATAAACATTGCGTTTTAAGTTGGAGTTCAGTATTGTTTACTAATAAATATCAATTTACTTCCAAATACTTGCATTTATTTTTTTATCTTTTTCAAAGATATAATCCAAACATAAATTTAATACAAGAAACTTTTAAAAATATATAAACTCTTTGTTATTTTAATAAAAGTTACAATTATATTTAAATTACAATTTTATATTTTTTAACTTATTTTTTTCTAGTCTAATATAATTTATCAAGTATATGTGTGTAATGATCATTAGAGCGAAGGATGCATGATAATCAGAAATTTATTATAAATTTTTTAATTTTGTAAATATTTAAGATAATATAAAGTATGTTTTTCAATATGCACAACAAAAAAGTGAACGATTCATTGAAATAAATGTACTATATAAAAAAATAAAATTTGAATAATAGATATGTTTATTTAATTTTATATTTTTAAATTCAAATTTTAGGAAAATATACAAATTTTATAAATTTTATAAATAAGTTTTATAATTTGTAAAAATAATATTAATTTTACTATAAGTTTTAAATGTACAAATTTTATTATATTCTAATTATTAAAATTATATTAAAACTATTATGTATTCATTTAAAATATTATCTTCCTTCTTTTGATAATATAATAAAATCATTAAATAGAAAATTACTTTTCTACTGAATATTTAATACTATTTTCGTAATTGTAATTTAAATAAAATGACTTTGCAATTGAAATTTTTCATACAATTTTTCATATGAGCACAAGAAAGAAAATTTTTTTTATTACTTTTATTATCGTTAAAGATATTCTAAATATAAACAAATACATATGTATTTGATTACCCATGTTTGTACTGTAATGTTGAAAATAAAATACATTTTTTAAGACTAATAAATTGAGTTATTAATTTTTTTTTTAATTAAATACACTTTACCACTGTTACACATGATTGTAAAACATTTTTTTAAATATATATCACATTTTGATAAAATTTTAATTCAAAGACAATATATTTGCACTGAATCATATGACATTTTAATTACACAATTTTGTTTTCAATTAAACACTAAACATTTTAATTTAAGGTGGAATGCCAAGAGTTTTCCTAACTAATTTTTGAGCGATTCTTTCAAATTCTGAGCGATCTTCTCTCCACATTTTAGCAGCATCAACATTTGCACCACTTTCATCATTTGGCTCTGCTAACATACTTACCACACTTAATAATATTTTTTCTACACTTTGAACTGGACTCCATCTTTCTGCACTACTTTCATAACCCATGGGATCATCACCAGGTGCATGTAATATACTTATACATACTCTGCCATCTGCATAGACTGAAGAAATATAAATTCAAAATTTTTGAGAGACAATAAAAAATAAACATAAATCAATGTTTTAATAAAAACAAATCTTACTATTTGGATGAAACATTTCACAAGTAAATTGCATTTTTGGTGGACTTAATGGATAATCCGGTGGAAATATCAATTTTGCTGGAAAAACTCCACCTTCAAAACATGTTCCTTCTGGTCCACTATAAACAAATATTATAATATATAAATTTTTAATTAAAATTAGAAAAAATAAAAATATATATCAGATAAATATTTTATATATAATATATATATATATAAACAAATTATCATAAATAAAAAATTAATAATTAAAAAATAATAAAATTATATATTTTGTTAAAATACATACGTGATTAAGGCTTCCCATTCGAAAAAATTTTCTTCATTTATTGGACCAGCGATAATACCTTCAGGTGGATTTAAGGTTAACTCTATAAATTATATAGTATTCATTATATTATTATTTAAAATTAGACAAAAAAATAATAAAAGAAGCAATTTTACATAATATTTATAATAAAGTGTGAATTGCAATAAATTAAATTTAATTCTCACGTTTATATTCTGCCATTAATCGTCTTAATGCAGAACCCGCCATTGTTTTGATCATGGGGGTTAACGACAAGAATTAAATGAAATGTCAAAAATGGATATTAGGTTAAAGTAACAAGAATCCTTGACGTATATATATCTATTTATTTTACGAATTTAAAGAAATAATTTATTTTTGCGAAATATTATATTGTGTTATGCTTAAATAATATTAATGTAAAAATTCAAATGGCAACAGAAGAACAAAAATATTTATCAGATATTATTAAAAATACACATGCCACGTTGCGACAAGAAGCTCAGAATTGCGGTCCTGAAATTGCGTGGAAACGTCATATTTGTCGTAAAGATATTTTACAGGTTTGATTCGTTTTCAAATATTATTTATTGATTAATAAGATAATATAAAAATAATATTCATAAAAGACTATAGAATTTCATGGATAAATATTTTAGAAATATGCTTTTTCTATGCAAAAATTGGCAACTACATATTGGATGGAAAATAACTTGAATACCAAAAATTCAACATATTCAAGAATAGAATGGATTAAAACTCAATGTGAAGAATATTTTTTAAATGGTGGAAGACAGAAATATGATTTGAAAGAAGAAAATATAAAACAGAAAATAGATAAATATTATGTAGACTCTGAAATCCCTATAAATTATAATGTAAATATTAAAAATAAGAAAATTCAAACATCTGAATATTTTGACAAGAATAATGAAAAATTAGTTGAAAAAATATCATTGTTAGATGTAGGCAGTTGTTATAATCCATTTGGGATTTTAGATATGTTTGATGTATTTGCAATAGATTTGAATGATATACCAGAAAAAGTTTTACGTTGTGACTTTTTAAATGTTCAAATTGGACGAGAAACATTAATTTCTAATGATAAATATCAAGTTTTACAATTGCCTGAAAAAAATTTTCAAGTAGTTGTATTTTCCTTATTTTTGGAATATTTACCCTGTCCAAAACAAAGATACATATGTTGTAAAAAAGCTTATGATTTATTGCAAACTGGTGGTATTCTTTTTATTATAAGTCCTGACTCAAAACATGTTGGTGCAAATGCTAAGATAATAAAATCATGGAGATATGTTTTAAGTAAGTTAGGATTTATGAGAATAAAATATGAAAAACTGCGACACATACATTGTATGATATTTAGAAAGTGTATGTTTAAAAATGTTGCAATAAGGTGGGCAACTTTGCAAAAATTACCCCAAAATGATCCTTTATATTTGAATGACATTTCGATTTATATTCCTCAAGATTTACGAAATGTATTTGATGAAATTAAAGAAAGAAAAAAAGAAGAATATGATACGAATGAAATAATGAGTATGTTCAATGAATTACCATTTCAATAAATGTAATAAGAAAAAAAAATTAATTATAATTAATATTGTAATTACAATTCTTATAATATAGAACATAGAATTTTATTATTATAGGATTTAAGACTACTATAATATAAACTAAATAATTATTTTTAAATAAATCAATTATCTTATTAATCGTATTCATTCAAATCATATTTTAAAAGAAATTTTATCACGTTTTGATCTATATGTCATATAGGGATATTTATAAATTTTCTGAATTGCCATTCATTTTACGCCATCTTAAATATACCTTTCTGATTTCTTTTCGTTAGCTATACACGTGGTGAGTGAATGTTTCTCGTTTATAATATTAAATATTATATTTTTTATTTATTATATAGTTTAATAAAGTATAATTATGAATTATTTCTCTAAAAATAATTTAAAGACTTAATAATTTGAATAAATAATTCTTTGTTTAATAATTTATATATAGGTTATATAAGTTAATAGTTATTAATATATAGTTATTAATTTTCAAATTTATATATTTATATAAATAGAATTACTATATTATTATAAAAATTTTCTTAATATGTTTTCAGATAATTCATCATGTCGTCCCATTTAAATTGGATGATTATCCGTAACAATAATGCGTTTCTCTTAAAAAAAACGCAACATTAACAAACCATTTTCAACGGTTTGTACAACATGTTTTATTAAAATTATTTATTCTTTATATATTTTTATAGTTATTATTTTATCAATCTTCTTTTATCAATTTATATTATATTATATTATTTATATTATTACAATATATATTGATATGTGATATAAAATTTTAGGAATCTAACAATTTGACGAATTTGAGTAGTTACCGTTATTCTGGTTTGATTCATAGAAAAAGTGTTGGTATTGTTGATACATCTGATAAGAAAGGATTTACAGTAGTTTATAAAAAAGCTAAAGCTATGAATAAGCCTGCAAAAGCTACAGTTCGATGCACAATGAAAGCTGGAGCTCGTCGTTCTTTATATAAATTAAAAAGATTGCTTACAAAAAATAAATATCGTGTAGATCTTACTAAGGTAGATTTATTTGAAATATAAGATGAAATTTGTCTGTGATTAAGATTTAAAAAATTTATCAATATGATACAAATGAATTATTTTTAGGCTGCATTACGTCGTGCTAGTGCTGTGTTGCGCTCCCAAAAGCCTTTACCTGCTAAGAAGACTCGAACAACAAAAAAGGCTGATTAATTTGTATATTAATAAATATACATTTTAATGTAAATTTACAGATGTGATATATATTGCAAAAAAGATTTATTAATTGTTTATCAATTCTGAAATTTTTTCTTATATATATTATTATATATTAAATAATTAATTTATTTAATTAAATTACTATTTTTACTAAAAGCTTTAATATTAATTAATATTTCTTCTTTGCAATTATATCTAATATATTTATTTTAAAAGTCCTAAAAAAAAAAGAATTGTATAAAGTAATTATGTATAAGTATATATATATAAAAGGTAAGTTATCTAATTATTTAATTATTTTAAGGATGCATATAAATAATAGTTATATTTTTGATTTCAGCATTCATAAATGGATGTTGGAAAAAAATCATTATTTTTATGTAAGTATATTTATATTTGTTAATTTTCTTATAATAAATTATAATTATTTTATCATTTTATATTTATTTTATCATTTTAATGAATTATTTTATACATAATTATTATCAATTATTTTTATCCATTAAGATCTATAAATGTTAAGATTATTTATTATATTTATTATGCAAATATATTAATATCTACTAACTGAAATCTATATAAATTAAAATATATTAAATAAAATATTTCTATAAAAGATTATAAAAGATTAAATTATTAAAAATTAAAATACTAATTTTGTAAAATTATGATAAAGTAAATGTAATAATGTAAATATATTAAATAATAGTATTTAACTGATTTATTATGAATCAAAAA